TCCCACAATAATATTATACACCACTGATTTAAAAGTCCATGTAAATTTATATATATAGTATAGATATTATCAAGTGATTGTGATACTATTATTCTCAACAATTTTTATAATTAATAATTTCTTATGCATATCAAATTTTATTGTAAAATTTTGTGGGTTAATTATTGTTAACATCTACCTAGATGGCTTAATATTATAGTTTGTCGCTATTAAGATATAATTTAAGATTAAGATAATTTATTTATCACACAAAATATATATAATCTATTTTTCCGTGCATCGCACGGATTACCGCTAGTTTTAATTGTAAATGATTGGGTCTGTCAGCCAAATTTTAATCTTTAAATTTTAGTCGATAAATGAGCTCATAATTAATCTAAATTGACTTTGTGAGCCATTATACTCATCTCAAAATCTTAAAAATATCCACAGTTGATCAGGTTATTAAATTGACCCTAGATAAGGACAAATTGAGATAAGGTTAGGATCTGACAAAGAAGGGATGGGATTGGGAACATTAGGGAGTGGTTGTAGTAGGGTGGAAGGTGGCGGGGCTGGGATTACGAAGGTGGTGACTAAATGAGTGTACGTAAAAACTAGATTTGAATCGTTATGTAATTAGATATCAGTCTAATTGTATTTTGTGATTTATTTACAACATTTTTTTATTTTTCAGATTATATAAATATTTTAGCTTCCTGCTATTAGACAAGTACACAACTAGTATGGAAGTCTTGGAAAAAAAATAATGATCATATTTCATTTAAAGAAGAGGAATACAATTTGGCATATACAAAAAATAAATAAATAAAATTAAAAATCATTCTAAATAGAGAAATGACAAGAATTTAACAAGAAAACAATTATTCACATTATGCATTGGAGGTCAATGAAAACTATTTGATTTTTACCACCGAAAAAAAAAATCCCCCTCCCGAACCAATTACTAGTATTTTAAATGTATATATCCCTACCATTAAATTAATTAACAAAAATTATGTTATTTGTTCTCATCTAGGCATCTTTTGACACATTGTCGCTAAACTCAGCTGGCTTTCTTCATGAATGCCAAGTGTAAAACTACTTTCTCCCCCCTCCCCCCCAAAAAAAAAAAAATTCTAATTTAAATCTCTTAATTCACCCACAATGATATAGCAAGGAAGATAGGCCCTACACAATTTAGTGTGACAAAGATTTTTTATCAGTCTTAAATATTTTCTTTAAAAAATTGAGTTTATATTTTTTCATTGGTTACATTGCACTTCTCATCTTCAGCTTAGAGATGTATCAGAACTGGGTAATTCCGTCAATTTGATATCAATTCTGCAGTTTAAATAACAACGTTGTTTTATTATTAGACAATGCTAGTAAGTGTCCCACTGACATTGTTTAATATTGAGAATTATGCAAAAAAAAGTGATTTGAAAACAATGAAAAAGTAAAAATAAGTATTAAAATAAATGCAAAGCATTATGAAATTAATTATAAAAAATACATTAAGATCTATATTATTTTTATATTTTTCTTATACCGTGAAACACTTTGTTAGCAAAACCATTGTTATTACCCTATAGTTTTGTGCAATTAATTGAAAGCTTTTAAACCAACTAGTCATTAAATTATCAGTAATGCTAGGTATCATAAAAAAATCTTTCATGAAAATAATCATGAAAGTTTTATGGCCCTTAGATTACACTTAGAATAAAGTAGCACACACTAATCAAGGTAATTCAAAGATCATAAATTTTTCATGATCATTTTCATGAAATTTTTTTTATAACCCCTAACTTTTCTCTTAAATTATAATCCGCTGTGTTTAATTTCAATGCATAGTTGTCACTTGAGTGGTTCAGCACTGTTGCCTGGTTGTCATCAATGCCAATCCATATGCTTACAAATTTACAATGACAATTTCAATATTTTTGGGGGCAAAAAATGATCTAATTTTTGTGGTCAGTTTTGTTTCAATTCAGTACACCTATTGTTATAATTTATAATTTTAAAAATATTAATGACACATTATTATAAATGATTTGTTTGCACAAGTTATTTATTTTTCGCACAAATTATTTTTTCTATAAAAACAAATCAATGCATAACACCCATCATAAAAATAAATCAACGCTTAACATTCTTTTCATGTAAAGCCGTACTTGTCACAACAAGTGTCATCTATAAACATGACAAATATTGATGGTCAGAATTAGAATAAAATCAAAGAATTATCTGATTAGCGTTTGTCACACCATTCGTCTTCAAACGAGACTTCATATGTCATTTTTCTCTTAAAACTGAGATTGCCCTTAATTGTGTTGGTTAAAAGGATAATTTCGATTGAAAAATGATTTACAAATAAAAAAGTCATACAACAAGTTTCATAAAAATGATATGATAGTGACATTTTAAAATTTTTAAATCAAAATTTTTTTATTTGAAATTAATGGACATGAATTCAATGTCATGTATAATTTTTTGTACAATTTTTTTTTTCAATTATCAATTTTTGAGAGAGATCAATTTCACTCCTCCCCCGTTACAAATCCTAAGAAATAACTTTTTGTTTGATTCCACCCGCACCCCTCAATTTGTAGAAAAAGATTTGGCCTATTTTGAAAAAAAGAAAAAACAAAAAAAAAAGGGAACAGAAAAGTATATTTATCAGTCAATAGGCCTAACCTCATCTCCATTGCTCTTTTCTCTCTCTCTCTCTCTCCCTCTCTCTCCCCGTCCCTCCCTCCTTCCTGTTAAGGTACTCTCAATCACTTTTTTACTATATTGAAGAAAATCGTATATAACACTCAAACCTCTCTCTCTCTTGCGTTAAGGTACTCTCAATCACTTTCTTACTGTATTGAAAAAGATGGTATATAACACTCAAATCACATATACATGCATGTATCCATATAAACACAAACCTTTCATGTATAAACATGAATCTTTTATTTCTTTTGAGCATGATTTCTATATATATATATATATATATAAGATTATATACAGATTCTCCACTATTGGTTGAAGTATCAATGATGAAGATGATTTCAAAGATCTGCTATACACTTTCTTTCCTTTCTTGTTTTTCTTTTTTAATTGGATTTTCTCTTTGATTAGTTGTAGAGAAAGAAGAGGAAAGTCATAAATAAACATGATTGCATGTTAAAGTATTGACCAAAGTTCAACGGAGATGATGATAATCTTTTGTCAAAATGATTAAAAGCAAATCCAGGTGCAATGATTTTTGATGCTTTTGTTTGTTGATGTTTTTGTTTGTATATTTTCTCTCTACTCTTCAACTTTCTTTCTTTTCTTTTCTTGAGGTGTATGTTTTTTTTTTTTTGAACGATTCTTTAGGTGTTTGTTTGGAAGCCATGAAAACCCTCATGGGAAAAGGGTCAACTCTCAAGCTTCTAATGTAGAAAAGAAATAAATTTCGGAAGATTTAGTTCATTTTTCTAAATTTATCACGGATGATCTTTTTGGTAGACGATTCCTTTTTTAGTCACTTGTGCACCTTTACTCAATCGAAGGTTATCACTTCAAACCCTAAATCATAAGCAGATTATGGTATTTGAAAATTATTATTTATTTTTTGATGTATTCAAAAAAAAATTATTATTATTATTTAAAGTCAATATATATGAAACTAAAATTAATGGTGGCTATGGTTACCCTTCGAGATTAATTGTAAAATAATTTTCAGTAAATGATCTTTAAATATCGCATATTAAATTATTAGTTTAGCAGTTAAAATTCAAGTTACTAATCTTAAAATTGTAAGTTTAAATTTCCTACAAATAATGTGCTAAAGATTAGGTCCATGTCCAATCTTCCCTGCCAAACCCCGTCTAATAGAAACTAAATCAGGGGGCAATTTGGAAACTTGCTAAAAAAGTTAGTTTTTTGACTTTTTAATTTTTTTACACCAAAAAAAAAAAAACATAAAAAAATATCTTTTTTTACACAAAAAAGTCACCAAAAGCCAAAAAAAATTAAAAAGTCAATTTTTACTAACTTTTCAAAATACTACATAGGTGTACTTTTAAATCTTTAAATATAGTAATAATAATAATAAAATAATGATGATACAAGAAAAGAATGATGATAACATAGTTATAAGTGAATTTAATGCACAAGTACTAATTTCTTTGAGGTTAAATAAATGTTATACAATAATACTAGAGATCTAGAACTCTAAATTCTTGGTTTCTTGCATTAATTAATGTTATATGATATAATTATCAAATTCTTTTTTTTTTTTTAGTTTTATTTTCTTGGATCTTTGGAGATAAATTTTAAATATGTAAGCTTATTTCATATTTTATTTTTTCACTTCTAAACATAAGTCAAATGAGACTCATATGAGACCACTCACTCGTAACTAGAAATGATAAAATACAATAAAGAATGAAATTATATGTAACATTTTTTAAATTATTAACGAATGCTTTAAGAACCAAAATTTCATCATATAATTATGTTGCATCTTCTTGTAATTATTGATTTTATTTACATGGGTATAGGATGTATATCAGTTTATTGTCAATCTATAGAAAATATGTTGCCGTTATATGTTGGTCAGAACTTTAATGGACACATTTAAATGATGGAAAGAAATCTTTTAGAATCATTTCCATTTACTCTACTCAAAGATCTTTACTGTCATTTTTAAGAAATAATTTATGCATATGATTATTAAGCTAAATAATGATGTCATTTATTTATTCAAAAGCAATACTGGAAGGCAATATAATGTTTATAAGTTATATATTAGATATATATACATATATTAAGGGAAAGTTTTTAAACAAAAATAATTGTTATAGGAAATATTATGATCTCCTTCACATTTCATGCATATAGAAGATTCTGTATGTCTTCAAGATGTGATAAGGATTTACTCTCTCCTTGCGATATTATTGCACATCCCCAAATTTCATTTCCTGTTTTTCCTTGAAAATACAGAAAACATATGGCCTTTCATTGATAATAACCACACAAGCTCAATGAAGCTCGGCTCATTGATAGCAGTGAGGCCTGTTTGTTTCTTCATCCTTCTGGTAATTTCTATAACTGAATGATTACTTGTACTATATTTGATTTTCTCAATCATGTAGCGGGATCATAGTTCTAAAAAATGGCCGGTGAGTACATATCGTACAAGCCTATACGTATTGGAAAATTAAGGTGGCGATACGGATACGAACCAATATTGCGGTGTGACTGAAAATTGCCACCGAACCATCTAATTCCCGTTACATAATGGATTGTAACCATTTTTCATAGGCTGATACTCATGTAAAAATAGTTAAGAAATTTTATGGCCGCAATATCCGATACTGATACTCTACAATCAATATCGTTACATTACGCGATATTGGAATTCAGAGCCACGATTGGGATTGCTTGGTTTATGTAAGTGCCAAATAAGATGTAGGAAAGCCAAAATGATTTGGATTCTTATGACTACTTATTTAAAATATTCAAGATTTTAGGGTTTTGTTTCTTTCTTTTTCACTCATATCACTGACACAAAATAGAGCATAACATTCAAAAAGAAATATAGTTGGAATATAGGGGTGTTCGTCTTGTTTGGCTAGCTAAAAATAAAAAATAAAAAAAATACTGAGCTTTTCTTAAATATTTTATGCAATTTTCTTGAATAGTGGTTATGATTTCTTGTTTCTTTTCTTTTGTTTTTTCATTACAGAAAAGAACTACTGTATTTAATTGCATCATGCAGGCTTTCTTAGTGTTATTGCTTCCCAATCTGGTGATCCCATATTGGATTATTAAGGTTAAAAGAGTTGAGCAAGAACTGAGGTCGAATTCCCGCAATGTCATCCATGAAGTGCTATCAGAAATTGAAAAAACTGCATACTTGTTATCTCCAGTGAATTCATCGGCAACAAATTTAGCAAGAATTTTGAGTTCATCATTGGATGGAGTGAACCTTTCATTCTCTACCATTGAAACTCATGTCTGTATACCAAAAAAACCCTTGTACTAAAATGTAAATGAAAAAAAGAAAAGAAAAGAAGCTAATGTTAATTGTTTGATGCAGGTGGCCCCAGTACTGTTCCAAGCATTATCAACAATTCCACACTCGTCACATATTTCGTATATCGGAGCGGATGGTTTGCTATTCTCATACTACACCAATGGCTATCAAACATTCGCAGTGTATGCTAATTCTTCATTGTTTGTCAATGTGAGTGCCCCAATAGCCAAACAGTACACTCAGCCGGTGAATTGCAGCACTGGAATGCTATATGGAGAAGCTGTTCCTGTTAGGTCACATCCTTCATTTACAGTTAATGGAAGCTGGTTGCAAAAGGCCGTGGTTAGTACAAATAGGCATGTTTCATTAGGAACTGGGTGGGAAAACGATCAAGATCTTCTGTTTTTCAATACAGCTGTTATGGATGATAGAAGAGGAGCTCTCTCTCTAGGGTTTCCAGTGAAATCATTGACTGGCTTTTTCTCTGGGATAGACTTTCATGGTGGGAACTTGTATTTTGCTACAAAAGATGGGACAGTACTGGCTAATCAAGGGATTCCTAATACTCGTGTTGTTCTTGTTGGGGATTCGGTTTCATTTGAATCGTTGAATCCGAATGGAACTCAAATAGGTCTTGTTGGTAATGTTTCATGCAAAACTGATGATGATCATGGCACATTGAGAGCATCCTTGAACATTTGGGAAACCAAGTATAAGGTTTACTGTTCACCATTTGACATCGTCGGAGTAAAATCGGTAATTATTTTTTATTCTGTTATATAAAACACGTAATTCACATGGTTGAATTTTTGTCATACAATTTCTATTTCTAAAAAAATTCACATCACCAATATAATCTCTTTAAATATTATCTTTGCCTAGTAGTTACTATTAAGTAACAAAAAGTAAAATCAACATATAAAAAACCCTACATTCATAATGTAAGTACAATATTGTTGTACTTTGTGTTTGGTTGTATTTTCCTTTTCTTTCTTTTTTGTGTTTTTGAAATAAAATAATGAAAAGTTTAAAACTACTCGTTGTTCTCATATTATTTTCATTTTTTCAAAAATAAATTTTAAAAATTCAAAAAAAATCAAAATTCTGAAAGTAGTTTCCAAAAACAATTCACCAAATAAGAATAAATAAAACTAAATACAACCAAACGGATTCAATAGCACACGTCATAAATCACTTATTGTGCACACATGTTCTTGTTCAGACATGGCTCATTAATCCGTCATTACATGTAAGTAGCTTCATATATTGATCCATCATTTTGATTACATGTAAGTGAGCATATAATTATGTTTGGAAATTGTAATTGTGTTGCAGGTATATGTATTGGCCTTGCCACAAGAGGGACTGGAGAGCCTTGATAAACATATCACGTTTGCATTGATAATTCTAATAGTGGTGGTTGGTGCTATGGTTGTCTCCATTGTGGTTTTTGTGTTCTTACTTCTGAGAGGAGCAAGAAGAGAGATGTACTTATGTGCAACACTCATAAAACAAATGGAAGCAACTCAACAAGCAGAAAGGAAGAGTTTGAACAAGATCTTAGCATTTGCAAGTGCGAGCCATGATGTCCGTGCTTTGCTCGCAGGCATTACCGGTTTGATAGATATGTGCCATGATGACGTTACGCCTGAATCAGAGTTGGAGAAAAATTTGATGCAAATGGAGGATTGTACAAAAGATCTTTTGGGTAAATTTCTCAACTAATTTTTCTATCTTCATAAGATTCTAGTCAAGAGGTACATATATCATAACTGCAGCGGACTAAAAATCTGTGTACAATTCAAAAAATTTCTAGTGTGGTTCACATTCATTTAGTTGTGAGTCCATTATACAAAAGTTGAATACGGATCGCACATTATTTTTCTAAATAAACTTCTCCATATGAGTTGTGGGTCCTAGCTTTATTTACAAAATAAGCTTCTATGGAAACTTTTAGAGTAAATTATACTCTTTTTTTCCTTGAACTTTCTCCTTAATGTCACTTCTGTTTCTCATCTTCTAATTGTAACAATCAAGTTTTCAAACTTCCACCCATCCTTGATTGAAAGTTGAAACATGAGGAACCAAAGTGAAATTTGAATGAGAATTAGAGGGTGAAAAGTATAATTTGCCATACGAAAATTTTCCTCTAATACCCCAAAAATGTGCTCATGTGACCCTCATGTAAAAACTTTCCTTTCGAAATCTTAACAATAAGTGACTGCAAAACCAAATTGAAGCACAAATTAAACTTGAAGATTTGATTGTTGTATGCAAAATGATGAAAGACCAAAGTGAAATTTTAGTAAAAGTTTGAAGGTGAATTTTTTTTTAATTTTCAACTTCTATATATATATACAGGTATTTTGAATTCAATTCTTGATACAAGTAAAATTGAAGCTGGGAAAATGCAACTTGAAGAAAAAGAAATTGACTTGGCTCAACTGCTGGAAGATGTAGTTGATCTGTATCATCCTCTTGGCATGAAAAAAGGTGTAGATTTGGTTTTGGATCCTTGTGATAGCTCTGTCTCCAAATTTTCAAAGGTTAAATGTGATCAGACCAAACTCAAACAGATACTCTGCAACTTACTGAGCAATGCTGTCAAATTTACATCTGAGGGACATGTGGTAGTTCGGGCTTGGGCTAAAAAAGCCCATTTTGATACCACCATGTTTTCTTCTAGCTCGAACAAGTCCTTGCATTGTCTTTCATGTTTGTTTTTCAAGGATGATGAATCATACAATGGCCTGGAATCTATGAACACCATCCAAGAAAATTCAAACAGTGTGGAATTTGTTTTCGAGGTGGACGATACAGGACCAGGAATTCCAAAAGAGAAACATAATTCTGTTTTTGAAAACTATGTTCAAGTCAAAGGGACAGCTCTTGCACCAGAAGGCACTGGCTTGGGGCTTGGAATTGTTCAATCTCTGGTATGTTGTAAATTTGTAGTAGTAGTTCACTGCTTGATTTCCATACTAAGATGTATTGATTTGCTTTCAGCTAATAAGTTGCAACTGCTCTAAATTAAATGACTGATGTAGTCCTAAATTTTCTTCCTTTTTCTTTCTTTTCGCCTTGTAGGTTAATTGATTTCCAATATTTTAGCTTCTCAATTACTTGTTATTCCACTCCAGGTCCGTTTAATGGGTGGTGAAATCAGTATTGCAGACAAGGAAATTGGCGAAAAGGGGACCTGCTTCAGGTTTAATATATTCCTTACTATGTATGAGACGACAGATTCGAGCGCTAATGCAAGAGAAGATGATGTTGAGTCACAGGGCGGTTACATATCTTGTGATTCATCTCAACATTCAAGGCCACTGAGCACCCGCACCACCAGCCCTAAACCGGAGGGATCACATGTTGTACTCTTTATCGAAAGCGAAACGCGACAGAGAATTTCACAGAAAGTCATGGAAAGCCTAGGGATAAAAGTGTCTGCTGTGAGAGATTGTGAGCAACTTTCACATACCCTAAAGAAGCTAAAACAGAAGCTAAACCTCTCCCACTACAGTTCTTCGGGCAGATCAGATTTGAGTTCGGGCAGTCTCAGCAGACCCGTGTCACGTGATTCCAGTACGAGAGACAAGGAAGTCCCATTAAGTGCGTTAGATGGGACAGACAACATACCACATTTTCAGAAAAGGACAAATCTGAAAGGTGTGTTAAATTTCATACTAATTGTGATCGATACAAGGGCCAGTCCATTTCGAGAACTAAGCAGGGCAGTGGCAGAGTTCAAAAGAGACCTTCAACATACTTGTTGTAGAATTGTTTGGATCGATAAACCAGGTGCACATAGCATCCATTCAAAAGGACTCGACTTGGATAAGCTCCCTCCTACTGATTTGATCATATCTAAGCCTTTCCATGGTTCTCGATTGAATCATGTGATCGGACTTCTACCAGAGTTTGGGGGTACTTTGCCCGATATTTCACCCAGAAAAAGGAGACGAGACGATCTTCAACTTGAAAAAATTCCTTCAGGATTGCACTTTTCAACGAATGAGAATCATATGATTTCAAAATCGAAGAGTGGTGAGAGGCCCTCTAGTGGGAAGGAAGTTTTGGGTTCAGGTGACAAGCTCGCAGTCAAACCAGTTGGAGAAATAAAGGAACATGGTGGGACAAGCAGTGAGAAGCCTTTGAGTGGGAAGAAAGTATTGGTTGCAGAGGACAATGCAGTGTTACTTAAGCTGGCTGCTACTATTATTTCAAAGCTTGGTGCAGATGTTGAAACATGTAGAAATGGTGAAGAAGCTTTTGAACTAGTCTGCAAAGGTCTAAGCAATCGAAGGAAAGATGGAGGTTCTGCATTTCTTCCTTACGACTATATTTTGATGGACTGCGAGGTAAAAGAATCTTCCTACCATTTCTTTATGCACACCCTCTTGCTTGTGTTATGTTGCATTTTTATCAACTACTCTATCAACTGCATTAGCGGTAAAGTTGTTCCAGTGTGACTTAGGCATCATAGGTTTAAAACACCAAAGCCACATCTCAATATACAGAGATAAAGCTATGTATATCTAATATTTTCTACCAATTGAATCATATTATAATCATAACTACAATAAAATAAATAAAGGAAATAAGAAAATCTTATAAAATCATGAACTATGTTTAGTTTAAGATTACATTTGTTTATCCAATTTTTTTGTCCTTGTGATGAAATTAGTACTCCTAGTTTGATTATAACAGATGCCGATATTGGATGGGTTCACAGCAACAAGACGAATACGGGAGGAGGAGCAGCAATATTATGGTGTTCACATACCCATCATAGCACTCACTGCTCATACATCTGGGGAGGAAGCAGATAGGATGATGCAAGCCGGAATGGACTTTCATCTACCCAAGCCACTGAAAAGAGAACTGTTAATGGAAGCTATTTCACAAATCAATAGTAATAGTAACCAAAACATGTGAAGCATTTCTTGTATTTGCCTTTTACCTTGATCAGTTCTTAGGTGTATTAGATGTGGACTTTTTTAAGCAAAATTATGCAAACATGTCAAGTCGCAGGGCTAATTAATGGGTCAAATAATTTGAAGAAAATGAGTTCTTTTGTTGTATGAGATTTTTGCAAGTTTCTGGTACCGTTGTCCCATGATGTAATTGAGTTGAGGTTGAAATCAAAATTCAAAAGAAGTGGAACGTAATATGATAAAACATATATGAAATATTTCTTATATTTGTCTTACTTTGAACAATATGTGTACTTTTTTTATATGTTATGATAAAAAATATTTTTTAGGAAGATTTTATTTACACACTGTCATTTTTCTCAATTTATATTATTTTTTTAAAAAAAAATTATTTTTTGTACAAATAGAAACTCTTTAGATTATAAATTTGATTTTAAAAATATCTAGCCTTCGTTTGGGATGTGTGTTGATTTTTTAACTTTTTGACTATTTTAGCCTAAAGTTAAAAAGTTTCGTTTGGGAAAAGTTTTTTAGCTTTTTGTGACTTTTGTAAGAGAAAAAATGAAATGATTATGTGTTGGACATGATATTTTATCTTATTAACTTTTTAGTATATTTTATCTTTTTATAATTATTTTGGTTCAGATTTTTTTATGTCAAATGAGATCTTACTGCTTAAAAAATCTTAAATGTAGAGATATTAGAAAGATAATTTGTAATCAATGTCACTATGCTTTTTTGATCAAGAACCGCACTAACATATGAAATCTATGATCAAAATTATTGAAAGTAGAAAGAGATGACAAAAGTAAAATCTAAATAAAAGTAGGATAATGATTGCACAATTTGCCCTTTCTAAACTTTCATAGCCAATAGTATGAAGTCTAATAAATCTTCTTTTCACAAACTTCCTCATTACCAAGATTGTACTAATAGAGTAACTCGAATACGAATATTTCGATGTAATAGAATTAATTTTTTCCACTTCCTTCAACGGTTGAATTGCTTTGGCTGGCTGATGAAAAGTTGAAAACTCAAAAATAGAACAATTAAAAATCAGGTAATGATACTAAAATTTTGAACATAGGTCAAAATACAAAATACAAAATACAATTTAACCATGTTGACTTTTGACTAAAATAGTAAAAGAAAAATCAAAAAATCTTTCACATCTTTCTTTATTTTTTTTTACATATCTTCTTGGTGAAAAAAATAAAAATAATAATTAAAATAGGCAATTTTCAAATGAGATGTAAAGCAAAAGAAAGCAACAGGTACAAGAAAACTTATTTTCCAAGGTACCAATTGAACGTCATCATTGACAACATTAAAGCAGAAACATGCAAATATATTGTAAATATTCCTAAACATGAGAGAAGCAAGAGCCAATAAATTACATGCAAAGGACCGAAAAGCAAACTACCATTTTCCAGACCGCCAAAGAAAAAAAAAAGAAAAAACTGACATTTTCCAACTTTTGACTCTATTTGGAAGAGCTTTGGAATTGTAATTTTAGCTCTTAGTTTGCACATAGTGTTTAATTGTGACTTTCAAAAATTAATTTCACTCACTTTTGAAAACTCACCGAACGTCCTACCAGGCGTCCAGCCAGTTAAACGGAACACTGCATAATTTTTATTTTTATTTTCAATTGACACATGTTAATTTTTATATATTCAACAAAAAATATTTTTCAAATTTTTTAAAACTTATTATGAGTTTAAAATAAAAGTTTGAATTGCATATTTTGTTATGAATTATAAATTTTTGTATCAAATATCATGTCACATCAAAAAATTTCCACTTAATTCAAAACTTTTTTCAAAACTCACTCACCAAACAAATTTTTCACGCTCAAATCATAATTCTAAAACTCACAACCTCAAAATATTACTCTATTATCAAATCATATTTAAAAAACTCTACCAAATATAGATTGATTTCCCCATACATCTTTCTCGCACAAGTTGAAAGAATGTTTCGACAAAATTAGATCAGTGAATCAGAAAATTAGAAAAAGTAAACATTATATCTGTAATAAACCTTAATACAACCTGGATAATTTCCTACTAAACCATTCTGATAGGCGCGCCAACTTTGCTGTGAACTGTGAATCAAATACAAAATATTCTCGCGCATTTTTCATCATCATTGTGATGTCATGTTGCACTGCTTCCAAGCTTCGATAGTATTTGTTCTTTAACCTCGATTCAATTACTTCAGGAGACAATGGTGCCGGGAACCTGCAGAAATCCCATACAAACAAATAAGTAAACTTCCTTATATGTTTTACCCATCAATCAATAATATTCAAATTCAGACCCTACGACTATTTCAGCCTTCAGATTACCCTGATGCGTTTGATGTATAATTAGTTAAAATATCTCACAAGTACCTATAGCAAATAAACTTACTAACTGAATATCTCACAAGTACTTATAGCAAATAAACTTACTAACTGAATATCTCACAAGTACTTATAGCAAATAAACTTACTAACTGAATATCTCACAAGTACTTATAGCAAATAAACTTACTAACTGAATATCTCACAAGTACTTATAGCAAATAAACTTACTAACTGAATATCTCACAAGTACTTATAGCAAATAAACTTACTAACTGAATATTGAAAAAAAAATAACTGATGTATTATTATTGATTGTTCTTGATTGATGTATTACAAGATTGATTAATTACAATTCCTATACAATCTATATATAGAAGAAAATGTGGTAGTAGGTGTAGTGGAGGTGATAGTGGGTTAGGTGAAGTGGAGTGTGTGGATTAGATTCTAAACCTGCTCTGATACCATGAAAAAAAAATAACTGATGTATTATTATTGATTGTTCTTGATTGATGTATTACAAGATTGATTAATTACAATTCCTATACAATCTATATATAGAAGAAAATGTGGTAGTAGGTGTAGTGGAGGTGATAGTGGGTTAGGTGAAGTGGAGTGTGTGGTGAAGTGGAGGTAGGTGAAGTGGAGTGTGTAGTGGAGTAGGTGAAGGTAAAGATGGGAAATTCTAACAAATATCTCACAAGTACTTATAGCAAATAAACTTACTCCACTATGCATTGATGCTGTACCAACTTAATTGTCATTTTAACTATAGAGATCTTTTTGTAGTAGTCTAGCAGGTTGCAATCACAATTTATTAGCAAGAAGTCAACCAGAGAAATAATATGCACTACAAATTACTAGAGGAATTTATCAGAACAGCACATTAGCATAATGCATGACACCCACTATGCAACGAGTAAAGCTAGATTAGTTCAAAACTCCACTAGAACAAATAAAAATGTGATACCAGAAGGGAAAAGAAAACAATATAACAAGGCCTCACAAAAGGATTACCTGTTTATGAAATCCGACTTCCGAGCAACTTGGTTCAGTCTTAGGATTCCATAACCATCCTGCAACATTCACAAAATATTCATGAAAAAGAATTTGAGACAAACTACATCAATCCCTTTGTTCTTCCTTCCTCAATCACAACAACTAAAGTTTCACATTAAATATAATAGCAACTCAAAGCAAAAGAGAAAATAGAATGTCAAAGAGAGTAACCTGGTTTTTGATTGCTGACTGCTGCAAGTGATTGAAGGAAGAAAGCAGCTTATCTCTACTTTCATCATCAATATGGGGGTGCCCCCACGGAATATCAGGATCATGTAGTTCCCAAGGACTATGTAGATGAGAATTTGTGGGATCACCCTTGTACTGGATTTCATATCTTTCCCATGGACTGCCAGGGAACTCATTAGATTTGTCCTTTGAAGAAAGAATCCGACCTTCCCACCAACTACCACCTTGCTCACTCTCATCCCTCCACCACACCAGGCACTTGTCCCTACAGGTCCAATTTCTCCTAACAGCGGCATCATACCGCGCTCTCTCAACCACAAAATCCGGAAAATTATTCAGTTCTGGAAGAGTGAATTTAAATGATTTACCAAACACACTAGAAGAACAATCAATAAACTCGAGTGTGATTTTACAACAGCTGTCTCCAGAAGGAACTGTGGAATAATCAAGTAAATTGACTGAACACAATTCCACAGCTCTAATGTTATTCTTAAAAAATAACCAAGGACCTGTTTCTGACAAGCAACTCGTTCCTAAATACTCTTGATGGCCCTGAAAAATCACACAATGCCATTCAAAAATCATTTACAAGAGCAACTCAAGAAACTTAAAATCAAAAGATACATGAAGGTTTAATATCTCTAGTCAAGACAAATCAGAAGTTTACCTGTCTCAAGTATAAAACTTCATCACCTAGTTGAGGGATGTAACGGTAACCTTCCTCCTGATGTGACAGCGTTAACCAATTAGGGCCATTAGATGTTCTTAGATGGTAATGAGACTTCCTTCCACCTGAAGAACTTTGGTCATTATCATAATAAACGCTTCCCTTGTTTCTACTAGACCTGGATCTAATCGAAATTTTTGAACTTGTCATCATATCTTCCGAAAGGTTCTGATCGTAAAACTTGGAGAACTTTTCTGCACTTTTTGAAGTCCCCACTGATTTAAGGCCCTGCCGCACCTTAAAGTTGTGGTTCACAGCATCTGTCTCCCGAGAAGTTGCTGTCAACCCCATGGATCTAGTTCTGCGCGTTGCATCAGTTGCAGCTTCAGGGAAATTAAATCCCAAATCAAGATTACGACCAGTGGCCTTTGCAGCATTCTCTCCTAGATCAACACTGTAATCTTCTGGATTGCTTCTAGACCAATTTGACTTTACTGCTCTGTAACCAGCATCATCCAACTTTCTGTTAGAATCAGAATGCAACCTCCGCATTGAACTTGATAGATCACAGCCTTCATCCTCTTCTGGTACTCCTGGGACATCCACTGGGGTAATGAACTTTGGTTGGGAAGGGCTTTCAGGATCCCTGAAAATCTTCCTTGATTTAAACCTTAACTTTGTTGGCTTGGGTGGAGGGTTCTCCTTCAAATCGTTGAAGTGGTTTGTAACAACTACCGAGTCATAATGTCCGCATACATCAGGTCCAGAACAATCTTTGTGTTCCTTTCTGAGATTTCTATCATCCAGGGGTGAAAAATCACATAATGAAGATTTATGCACATCTTCAGTAGAAAGTTTTTTAT